TAGTACTCTGCTCCCGTTGTCGTCATCTGGAAAGAAGCGCTTCACCCCAACCCATGCGTCCGTACCCCAAATGTCATCCATCACAATCAGATATCGTCGTCCGCATAAGCTCTGATACAATTTTTGTCCCAATTCTTCATATTCGCTGTCCTCACTCCCTTTGTTATTCAAACAGTCAAGGACTTGTAACAAAATCCTTTTCGAATCAAATTCTTGCGATACTGTAGTCCATCCTCGAATATCAAAGTATTCCACAATACATTGATTTTCGTAAATTCTTTTAGCAAGAGTGGTCTTACCAATACCGCCCATGCCGGCAATCGCAATGATTGGACGACCGGGTTGTTGATTGGTCAGCTTATCCATGACGCCGTTCATGATGACATCATTGGAACCCAACATCGTGTCGTGCCCCTTGACAAAAGGAGGGTTCAGCTTATCCATGAGGTCATTCATGACATCATCGGAGCTCGCCGTGGCATAATCCTCCGTACAAGGAGCAATTCTTTTCCCCGCCTTCTTATCTTTAATAGCAGCCACGTCTTTTGTGATGGAATCCAAGTCGTGAATCACTTTCTGTAGCTCTCCATACAAAGACTCGTTGTCATCCTTGGAACTGATGTTAGCTTCACCACGAGCCTCGTTATCATCTGCCTCGTGAGACGCATCGGGTTCCAGCATCATTTTTCGTATATATCGATACAAAGAGTCTTCTTCTTCTTCATCCCTAATACGAGTAATATGATCAGCAATGTGGGACTCGATGATGTCCTCTGCCTCGTGAGCCGCATAGACCATACGCCCCTCCAAGCCATATTCTACATCATCATCAATGATGTAGTTTTCAAGAAATTCTTGCAAGAAAGCAGTCTTTTCTATAAGAGGTTTGATTTTTAGTTTGTCGAGAGAGATGGGTGGGCGAGGGTGATTCTGGATTTGGTGTATGGTGTTTGTAACAGAAAGCAGAGCTCCATAAGCTGCCATGGATGATCCCCTGTTTGGTGAAATGAAAAGTGTGTAATGAGAAACAAAAGCAGGAAGTGTTTTTGAGCTCAAATGCTTGTGGTGAAGAAAAAAAAGAAGAAGAAGAAGAGTTGGATGAAATGTGAAACAGATATTAGTTGCTCCTCCATTATTGATTTCCAGTTTGGGACCGGCAGACCTTGGTGACTCACAATGACATTATAGGCTATATACCCAATAATTCTGCTTTCTGCACATGGAAAAAGTTCTATTTTGCTACTTCAACTTTGCATTGATTGCATCTCTACCAACAGTTCCATTAGTTAATCAAAATGGTTCTTAGCCAAGTTCACAACAGCTTCATGTGAGGACCATATCAAGATATATGTTATTTTGCCATGAACGAGCTCGAATCCAAGTTTATCAATATTATTAGCAAGCATATAAGAGCCAAGCTATAGATACAAATCCTTATTTTCGAGTTTTAACTAGCTAGATTAACTTAGTTCGGTTGGCTAGCTAAACGACTTTTAAATGAGTTAGAGCTCGACTCTTTTTTTTTTTTTTAACAACAATCGAGCTAACCAGTTGCTTGTGTGGTTTAACTGCAATGACCCATGAGCCTCTCTCAAAGTGCGCGAGCTTGGTTATTTTCGTAGCTATAGATTCTTATTTATTTTGGAGGAGTTTTAGTTGCTTCATTAAGATGGGATTTTTATAATTTAATTTGTGCTAAGTTGTAGATATGGAGTTGTGGGTTTGAATTTGTCTTGTTTTCCCTTTGGTTTAACTGTGGTGATTTTGATAATTTCCCTTGTGTACAGTACATGTGTGTGTGTGTGTGTGTGTTTTAACTGTGGGAAAATGTTGCTAGAGCCTAATTAGAATGAGAGAAAACGGGCGAAGAAAAGATGCTACCATTTCTGATTAGTCAAAAGCTACATATATAGTCCAACTTATAAAGATGGAAGCTTCGCACATTTTTCTTCGTTTATTTTTTTGTTCCTTTTTGTTTCTGTTCGATTTTGTGCATTTTGTATCTTTCTCGTCAAATGGAACTAGAGAGTATCCGATAGTCGGTATCATAAAATCAAAAGCTCTTGTATATTCACAAGTCTATGCTATGAATTACAAAGAACATAACGAAACGAAAACTATAACAAAATTGGCTACATTACGAGTAAAACCAAACTGTCCTAGAATAAAAGCTGATCCCTCCTAAGTCCTACCTAGGAGAAGAACAAAAAAAGGCTATAACTCTATAAACCCAATGTAAGAAATGAAAAACAAAAATATTCTTGATTTTACTTGTTCTGAGTAGGATTCGATCTGCTTGGAGGTACAGTTCTCACACTCGATTCCACATTCTTGTGTGGATTCTTCTCTTTTACGCGCAAATTCTCGAGAGTTTGCTTAGATGATGATGATGATGACAATATTCTTGATTTTGCCGTGGGTTTTGCTTCGGACGGTGGCATTTCCCGCGCGTTCAATGTGTCCTTTTCGTACAAAAGTTTCTCTTTTACGCTCGGATTCTCGAGCGCTCGTTTTTTCGCGATCATCGTCCTCGTTGCGTGCGATTCGTGCAAAACGAGCATGAATGCAAGAAGAAAAGAAGTCATCATTATTATGCTGCTAAGGTGGGACTTCATGGTAGCTTGATTTGAAATTTTTGTTATGAAATTTGGCTAAGGTTTAAACTTTTAACATAATGGTTGTGAGATTTGAAGGTGGATTATATATAACTTAGGTGTGTTTTTGGGGGTATCCTATGCAGAAAATGGTTGGATTAATTGGATCATGTGCCTCAGCTTGTTTGACTGTGACATGTTACGAGTCTGACTTAATACTGTTAATACAGATTAGTTGTTAGCAGTATGCGGCGTGATCATGTGATTAAGCACGTGATTTTTTTTATATTTAATCTCATGTACCGTCGGATATTTTAATTGTTGAATCCACATGTAGTTAGATAAAATAAATGATCCAACGGTTCAAACACTTAACGAGATGGCACCGTAATGACATCATATTATTCCCCTTTTTATTACTTTGGGTGTTGAGAACAGACTTGTTTCTTGCTTATCTCAAGTTTTTCGGATTTATTGTCTCTATTAATTTGTTTATTTTTTGCTTGTTTTTTTACAAGAAATAGAGATATTATATAGTAATAGTTGGGTCAAAATTGAATGTGGTCAAAGATCCATATTTCTTTGACTTCAAGAGCAGAGGGGAGAGTAGCCACAAAATTAGGTGTGTGAGGACAATTATTTTGAGGGTTGAACTTAATGGCAATCTTTCTTATACCAATATTTTTGTATTTAATTATGTGTTTTATTGTATTAATAAGTGAATAATCTATTATTATATAAAGAGACAACCTAAATAATTCAAAAATAGTAACTAAAAAATCATCTAAATTCCCGCCTAAATATATTACTAAACATAGTAAATTATTTTGGAATTTTTCAAAAATTCCGCCCAAACAAATTTGAAATTTTTGTGTGAAAATTTTAAATCCAAGGATTTTTGAAAAAGATTCATCTTTATCTTAACTTTCTTATCTTTAGCTAACTTCCTTATCTTAACTCTCCCATCTTTATCAAAACTTAGAATAATAATATGTAATGTAAACTAATATTTAAATATACATATTAACCACAATTATATCATTTTAGAACAAAATGATTATTTTATTTTATAACGCTAATATAAATTTATGGAAAATTAAATATGTTAATATTTGTACAATAAAAATTTAATATGTTAATATTTATACAAAAAATTAAATTTATGGAAAAACTGATAAATAATGTAATATATTTAAATTGATAAATAATATTTTATAAATATTTCTTAAAATTTATTTTATGTAATTTTATCAAAAAGTTATGGAAAAAAAATTAAAATGATTATTTTATGTTGTATTAATGAATTAAATTTTTATTACCTATCTATTAATATATAAAAAGGCAATGGTATTTACTTGAAATAGCAACTAAAAATCAGCAAAAAAAATAATAATTAATTTTTCGCCTAAAGTGTTTACTATATTGAGTAATATTTTTTTGCCAACATTTGAAAAATCCCGCATAATTAATGTAGTTAATGTACATAATCATTTTGGTCAAATATTACGGCTATTACCTTTATTAGTTGCATGATTTTAATTTGAAATATAATATATTGACAAAACTTGCACCTATTACCTTTATTAGTTGCATGGTTTAAATTTGGTATATAATATATTGAAGAAAAATAAAAAGATTTTTTATTTAAAATTAAAAATAAAAAAATAATTATTCATAATTTGTGGGTCAATATTAATTTGGACGTAAACGAAATAGTCAATTATTTATAGTTTAATAAAGTATTCATTAACTTATGAGTCAATATTAACTTAGACGTAAACGGAATAATCAATTATTTATAGTTTAATATATTACTCAACCTTTTTTTTTATTTGAATAGTTTATACAAAAATAAATTATTTTAAGTAATGAAACGATATACATTTTATATTTGTATAAATATAACACTTATAATATCATAATATAACACCTATAATATCATATCATGAAATTGCGGTACCATTGAAATACGGTCACTGATGATAGGTTGTCAGATCGTGTTGTTATTCATTGTTTACTATTATAATTTTACATTATTAATTTATTCAAACATAAGAATGCTAATTTAATTATAACTAATATTTGTTTTCTCTAAATGATTTTCACTTATTTGTTGAATAATTATAATGTGTTAGTATATCTATATTTCTAATTAATTGATTTTTAGATGGTTTTATGCATGTTTCATTTATATTACTCAATCAATATTTGTATGTATCATTCATTCAATTTAACAAAATCTGAAATGAAACATCAAATTGAAACATAAAATCTCATTCCTAATGTGGGACTCTATTATATCTTCATCTTCCTTTTTGAATCTCATTCCAGCATCATTTTCTGTATATATCGATACAAAGAGTCTTTCATCTTCATCCCTAATATGAGTCATATGTGTTGTGGTCAAGATTTTAAATAGCGGACCAAAACGTTTATGGCACTGTAGCTATAGCGGAGCTACAGCGGAGATTTAGCGGGATTTAGCGGTTAAATTGCACATGAATACAAATAACGGCACGCTGCCAAAAAAAAACTATTTCTCAAATAGCGACAACTTTAACGAGCTATTTATTTCCTTGGTTGTGGTGAAGAAGAGTATGAAATTCAGATGAAATGCAAATGATACAATGAATCTGGTGTTGAGACTTTGAGTAAGTACAGTACAACCAATATTAATAGTCGGGACCATTAATTAAGTGGGCCTGCCATCTTAGGCCCACAATGACCAAATCTATCACACCTAATTGTCGCTGTACAGCAAAAGTAGCCTCTGTTCCTGTTATTGATTGGTTGTTTTCGGCTAAATTCTCCAAAAGAAAAAAAGGTGAATGATAGATATGCATTATTGGAGTGTAACAAATTATTTGACTGGTGTAATAGCTTATTTGATTAATGAATTGTATTGATATAGTTTGTAAACAGTTTGATAAATAGGATTCATAATACCATTGTGAAAAATTGATGTCGACCGTGTTGACTGAAACAAATAGTTTATCACTTTATTGTATTAGTTGATAAGGTTGTTAACGAATCGAGCATCCACGAAAAAAATCTCGTTCGAGCTGTTCGTATTTGATAAGAGCTCGTTCATTTGTTAATCGAGCTGAATTCGAACAGAAATTAAATTTGTTTAATAATCGAATGAACACGAGCTCGTTCGTGAACGTTCAATAATGTCAGAGAACATTATTTTTGTCTATTTACATGATATTTTTAATAAAAAAATTATAAAATATATTTTCATTTTTTTTTCGAGTTCAAATAAACAAATTTCGAGTTAATCAAACATATTTAAAAAGTTTGTGTCCTAAATTAATCGAACACGAACGAACTCGAACTTTGGCGAACAATTAAAACGAACGACCTCAAACATAATTTTTTACTGGAAAAATAAACAAACGAATACGAATAGTGTTCGAACGTAAACGAACACAAACTCGCTCTGCCTCATTTCAATTATTCCACTATTAGCAATTAGCGGATTAGGAGATTGGTTTAAAAGTTTGTAAATAGTTGGTTGTTTGGTAGTAGGTGGACAAACTGGCTTTAGCAATTGAACGAAAATTAAAATAAATTAAAATTGAGCCATAACTTCTCCCTCAAAAAAAATATCACATCATTTTCAATAGCGTATTTCACCTCATGCATTCCATCTAACACGAGAGGCATACAAACAACAATATGTTCCCCACAAACGTTATGTTGGATATTTGGTGTCAAAATTACACGGGAATCCTACGAACTGATATGTCTTTTCAGTTCTTAGGATTCCCGTGTAATTTTGACACCAAATATCCAACAATCGCAAGAAGAATACGCCCCGTGTGGCTGCTAACGGTTAAGGCGTAACTTCCCCAAAGATACAACGGCAAACGTCTCTAAATCTGTAGCACACCAGATTTACGAGCTCCGGCGAACTGGATTCGGAGTCGAGAATTGAGCACTAAAAATATCAATAATATTTTTTCCCTCAAAATATTATTTTTCCTTTTAGGTGTTCTAAAGTTTTCTCAAGTTTTTCTCCCCCTTCCTTCCAAATGACCCGAAAGCCAAATATAAAGACTTTGAAAACCACATTAAATATGGTTGTTGAGGAAGATTGATTGAATGACAATTCTGACAAAATGAATGCCATCCACTTCTGACAAACACCATTAAAAACTGAGCACCATTAATACACCCACTTTTACACTCAACCACAAACAATTTAATAACAATCCCCCACATGAGTGTAAATATAATATACTATGTGCTCAATCCCCACAAAACTCTATTGCATCAGTAAAGGTAGTTTTGGGCTTTGAACCTTTCTTAGTAAATATCATCGGATGCACTGGCGGCCCAGTGGACGTGATGCCTTGAACTATTCCTCCGTAATGTACACCGAGACAATGATATTCACACAATAGAGTCTTTAACTCCATTCCGTTCTATCGTTGCGTCCGTTTTGGCCATGGACAACACAATGGATTCATAAGTGTTTACATTTGAAGCGGCCCACACTTCACACTTATATAGGTGACCTCTCCATCAAGAGTATCCTGCCATATTCCACATTTACAAAGGTTAGGGATTCATTAAAAGTCCACATGACTTACCCTCACCACAATCAACAGGAATCATGCACTTGGAGTGCTCTAGGGAATAGCTCTGAACATTCATATGTTCCAAGTGCTGAACTGAATTTTCACAGCTTAGTTTTCCCTTTGAACCAAGTTCGTGGGATCTCCACTCAGCATGGTAGGGTTACCACTATGATCATTCTTTACATTGTGGATTTTTAAGCCC